ACACCTATAAGGACTGAAAAACAATGGCCATAATTGGTTTCTGCACAGAGGAGGTAAAATAAACCTGTTTCTAGAACATGACCAGTCTGCTTCTAACAGCAGCACTCCTCTGGGCAGTTTGAATGACAGCCCTCAGACAAGCACATCATCATGATACTCTGGAGCTTCTGTACTTCTCACCTAATGCCTTTGGCTTATATATAGAACTAAGATGCACAAGTATTATTTCTCTGATAGAATGGAATCCAGAACTGTATTTTCCTTACAACATGACAGTAATTGATTCTGCAGTTGAAATGCTAAATTGTCCCTAAAGATTTTGCTGAGTCACTGATATTTTTCCATCACCAATTGTAGATAGTGTGGAGTGTTACAGGCATCATCAATTGGAAATGCCACTGTGTGTGTGGAGGGGGGGGGGTCTAGTTGTTTGAGGACTTGTATGATTCCTTCATAAAACAGAAGGAGAGATCTACCACTGTAGTAATGAGAGATTTCAACCATCTTGATATTTGTTGGATAAGATGTTCTGCCAAGAATATAAAGTTCAGCAAATTTCTCACTTGCCTTTCAAACTTCATTGATCAGAAGGTAGAAGAGGCAACAAAGAGATTGGGTATTTTAGATCTGTTCCTAATTAGCAGTGATAACTTCTTTAATAAGATCGAAGTGGAGAGAATGCTTAAAAGAGCACAATGTGACTGTTAAGGCCTGTGAAGCCTCTGAGAATGAGGATTTTCTGGTTGAGCCCAGTGTTTCTGTGGGGGGAAGTGAAAGTGTTTTTTTTTTAGACGATAGATATGTTTTGGGTAGATCTGTTGTTGGAGAAACAGTGATTCTCATGAGAATCAGCCAGGAATTGACTCTGAAATTAATGTGGAGACAACAGGTGGGTTACAGATTACCCAGCGTTTAGAGCTCCAAAGGGATAGTGTGAAACAGAGAGAAATGTAATGTTCTCGAAGACTGAAAGATAAACAAAGGGAACCCAGGTGTGCGATGATGTAGTGAATTCCCTACCTGTTAGGCTAGGAAAAGCCTAGAAAAGTAAGCCCAGGAAGTTTGTCAGCCATTTTGGAAAGGATGCTGGGGGGGGGGGGGTCCATTTTAAATCTCATTTCCTGAAGGGGGCATACTTAGGAGCTTGGAGGGAAAGGAGAGGAGTTAGTGATTGGCTGGGAGAAAGTGGGCGGAGCTTAACTTAGAAAAGGGAAAAAATGACTTTAAGGGGGCGTTTTAAAACCCTGGGTGTTGAAGAGATAGGTTCTGGTGTTTGTGTGAGTCAGACAGACTCTGGGTTTTAAAGAAGGTAGATTACAGTAGTATTCAGAGAGCTATTAGAGAAAGAATAGCTGAAATACTGAAGAGAAAGGACTGTTTGAAGTCAAAGAAGTCTAGTCAGAGGGAAGACTGCTAGATTTTTGTGAGGGAGTTAAGAGTTTAAGTGGAACCAAGAAGTGTTTAAGAATTGACCTGTTCTTTGAAGTAACCACACACGTTTATTCATTACTGCAACCGTTAAGCTTAAGTGCCTGTATTGCCAAAGTTCACACAAATAAACAACTTTGTTCTTTGTTCAAACAATTGCCTCAGCGTGCCTCTAAAGAGAAGAATTTCTAAACAAGTTAGAGAAACATTCTATACATTTGGTGGCAGCGAAGACTTAAAAGATTCTCTATAAGAATCACCTCAGCATAGTGCTTTAAATGGTGGCATAGGCCTGAAGATCAAGTTCAAGTTAAATGCCCTAAGTCTCTACAGATGACGTGAGAGTGATGTCATGGACACGAGTATTCTTAAGGAATTGGAGTCAATGTTCGCTGGGGAGATCAACATTGGATTTTCATATGTCGTTGCCTGTCTTGGGAGCTCCGAGTTAGGGGTTCTCTTCTTGGGTCTGTATCTTGTTTTCCTGTTTAAGTTCCATGCTCCCCGTTTGGATTACAAATCTTGTTTTGGGATTCAAGCCTTTGGGATTATGGTGAAGTTCAAGTATCAAGCCTTTGGATTATGGTCATGTTCATATTTCCAACCTTTGGATAGAATTCTAGTTTAAGTGCAACAAACATTGTATTACAGTTTCTTGCTTTTGCCTTAAGTGATTTTTGGAATTCGTGTTCAGAGTTGGTCATTGCTTTTTGTTAAGCTTCTGGAACTCTAGCTCACAGATGTATTTTCAAATGGATTTTTATATTCAATATTCTTTTCTTAATTAACTTACTATTCCTGTTCATCTGTGTGGTGTTTGGGATCAAGTAGGTGGCTTGGCTGTAACAGTGATGTGACAGCTAAAAAGCCAATGAAATTCTAGGCTGTGTTGCACTCCAGCCAGGATAGCCCTCTGACTTTAAACATCACACAGCTGAGTAAAAATGCAAGTAGTTTATTGAAGATAATTAAAAAGCAGTAGCAGTAAAAAAAAAACTCCATAAAAATAGGTAAATCCAAATAGGTAGAAAGATAAGCAGAAACAAATAGTCCAGGAAATTAGTCCATCAAAGTTCATGAAAAACAAATACAGAAACTTCCAAGGTAAAACTCCAAAACTTGAACCATGAAATCAAACAAGGCACTTAACACATGAATCTATCCAAGGCAAGGCTTCCAAGGACCAGGAAAAATGTCTTGACTCAATTCCAATGTTGCTTCATCTGACTATAGATTCTGTACTTGGCACTTTTATCCCCTAATCTACCCTATGTCCCAAGCGGCCAGGAACAGATTTCCTTTCACCCTTGACTCTGTTATCAATTTCTCTCTCCATCTGGCAGAACGCCAGAGATATTGGTTTGTTTGCCTGTGCTGACTGAAAATATGCCTTCTCTATACTGGCTCATTAATTTCTGTAGCTGGCTCAGGTTTCGAGCTTTTCTCAAGCTCAAAGTCCTGGGAATTCTCTGGTAGCAATTCAGGTCCTCTTCCTGGGACCATACCATCATCCTCAAACCCTTCAGGAACATTCTCATCAGGAAAGACACTTTGAACGGGAATTCCATTATCATTCTCTGCATCTAAAGCAACCTCATAATTAGAAACATCATTGTCATTCTCAACATCGAGAGTATCCTGATCATTAGACACAATCACTCATGTGGACCACTATGTCCAGTTCTTGGAACTGCAATTCAAGAAGCTAAGTATCCAGAGGTGGGAAACTGAAATGGTAAAAGATCTGGAAACTATGCCACTGATCTACCTCACCTCATTCCATCACGTTAAGCAGTTCCTGATAACAGAGGATGGTAGAAAGCTATAAGAGATTTTACTCCTCTTTCATAATTCCTTTTTGTGTCAGAGTAGGTTCTCAACATCTCCATCTTATGTGCAAACAGGCAATACAGGCAGTCCCCAAGTTACAGACAAGATAGGTTCTGTAAGTTTGTCCTTGTTGAATTTGTATGTACGCCAGAACAGGTACATTTATGAAGTGTAATTTCGCCACGCGTTGCTGTGGCCTAGTCTGTTGATATGGAAAATAAAATAATGAGAAAGGGTTGGTTTCTAATATATGTAATGTGTTGATGCTTGTGGGTAAACAGTATTTCTTGCTGTTTCTTTGTCAATGCTGATATGGAGATTGTCTGGTTTGCCTACTCTGGAACATGCAACATAAAATTGTCCTTCTTCAGGGGTCCCTTTCAGATCTATGATACTTTATTTGTGTGTGTGTGAATCATATCTATCTATATTTATGGCTGGATGGCTCTATGTTAGAAGGGCTTTGATTATGTTTTCTTGCCCTGGTGAAGGGACTTGGACTGGATGGCCTTGAGTATTTTCTGTTGGTCATGGAGGTTCTGTGTGGGAAGTTTGGCCCAATTCTGTCGTTTGTGGGGTTCAGAATGCTCTTTGATTGTAGTGAACTATAAATCCCAGTAACTACAACTCCCAAATGTCAAGGTCTATTTTCCCCAAACTCCCTCTGCGTTCCTTGTTGGGCATATGGAATATTCGTGCCAAGTTTGGTCCAGATCCATCATTGAGTCCACAGTGCTCTCTGGATGGAGGTGAACTACAACTCCCAAACTCAAGGTCAATGCTCACCAAACCCTTCTAGTGTTTTCTGTTGGTCATGAGAGTCCTGTATGCCCCGGTTGGTTCAATTCTATCATGCTATTTGATTGTAGGTGAACTATAAATCCCAGCAACTACAACTCCTATCTATCTATCTATCTATCTATCTATCTATCTATCTATCTATATATCTATGGCTGGATGGCTCGTCAGGAGGACTTTGATTATGTTTTCTTGCCCTGATGAAGGGAGTTGGATTGGATGGCCTTAAGTTTTTTCTGTTGGTCATGGGGGTTCTGTGTGGGAAGTTTGCCCCGATTCTGTCATTCGTGGGGTTCAGAATGCTCTTTGATTGTAGGTGAACTGTGAATCCCAGTGACTACAACTCCCAAATGTCAAGGTCTTTCCCCCAAACTCCATCATATTTGGGCATATTGAGTGCTTGTGCCAAGTTTGGTCCAGATCCATCATTGTTTGAGTCCACAGTGGGTTTCATCTCCATCCCTGTGACAACTGAGATTTTGAAAAAATTGGCTTGATGTGGAAATAAGGATTGGTGATAAAGCTTCATTGGAGACACCTTTTCTCCCTGATAACTTCCAGGAGTCCACTTAGATCATGTGGGATTTTCTGTCTTGATATACTGGGATATAGAGCTGTGTGGAAGGGACCCCTGTTCTAAAAATACAAAATCGTGCTTGCCTCGATTATTAACCTGCCTACTACGCCCTCAAACCCTGCTGAGTCGCGAAGGGACCTGCAAAGGCCCCAACTAAGGCTGGGTCCTCTTCCACACAGCTGAATAAAAGTTCACATTATCTTCTTTGAACTGGAATATATGGCAGCATGGACTCAGATAACCCGGTTCAAAACAGATATTGTGGGATTTTCTGCCTTGATATTCTGGGATATAGGGCTGTGTGTGAGAAGGGAGGCCTGGGGGGGGGGGGGGGAGGGACGGAGGGAGGGCTCCACCCAGAAACAAAATGGCGGCCGCGCGGCTGTTTCTCCTCCTCTCACTCACGACACATCCGGAGGGGGAGGTACAGGGACCGGAAGTGGGTCGCGCTTCCAAGATGGCGACTCCCTATGTGACTGATGAAACCGGTGAGTGGGAAAGCGGCGGTTGGGCTGGGAGGAGGCGAGAGGGGGGCCCGGGAGTGGTTCTGCGCTCCTGTCCTTCTACCTCGCAGTGGGGCCTTGCCGCCTTCCGACGACGACGACGCCCCTCCCATCCTCCGTCCTCGCGCGCCCAGGCTCCACCTTTCGCTTTCATCCGCCGCTGGGCCACGCCCACTGCGCGAGAGGCTCTTCCCGGACAGGATTATCCCCCGCCGGGCTCTTCTCCCCCCTTGGGCCCCCTCCCTCCGCTCCTACTCATTGGAAGCTCATCCTTCTCCCTTTTCCCGCTTCCAAGAGCCTCCGGTTGACAGGATGAGCCATGGTTCACCCTTGGGCTTGTTTACTCCTATCTAAAAATAATAATAATAATAATAATAATAATAATAATAATAATAATAGTCTAAATAGCACAACTTGTGGGACGCTTTCCCCATATTCTTCTATGGGCGATTTTTGTCTATTCTGTGGTGAATCTCTCCCACTTGCCATTCACTAAATGGGAAATAAAATGCCCGGATTTAAATGGAAGTGCTTCAGGGCCCTTCCACACAGCCAGAATGTCAATTCAGATATGCTTGCTTTGAATTGGAATATATGGCAGACCCAGTTCAAAGCCAATATTGTGGGATTTTCTGCTTTGATATTCTGGATTGTATGGCTGTGTGGAAGGGCCCTCAGATAAGCATATCTGGAGGCCCCTTCCACACAGCTGAATAAAACCCCACATTATCTGCTTTGAATTGGAATATATGGCAGTGTAGTCCAGTGGTTCTCAACCTGGGGTCCCCAGATGTTTTTGGCCTTCAACTCCCAGAAATCCTAACAGCTGGTAAACTGGCTGGGATTTCTGGGAGTTGTAGGCCAAAAACATCTGGGGACTCCAGGTTGAGAACCACTGCTGTGGCCCTTCCACACAGCCCTATATCCCAGAATATCAAGACAGAAAATCCCACAATATCTGCATGGTACTGTGTTATCTGAGTCCACACTCAGATAATGTGGGATTTTGTGCCTTGATATTTTGGGATATAGGGCTGTGTGGAAGGGCCCTCAGATAAGCATATGGCTTCATACAAGTTGAACATCCCTAATGCTGAAATGCTTCTTCCACACAGCTGAATAAAATCCCACATCATCTGCTTTGAACTGGAATATATGGCGGTGTAGGTAGGCCCTTCCACACAGCCCTGTAACCCAGAATATCAAGACAGAAGATCCCACAATATCTGGGTTATCTGAGTCCACACTCAGATCATGTGGGATTTCCTGCCTTGAGATTCTAGGATATAGGGCTGTGTTGTGATATAGGGCTGTGTGGAAGGGCCCTACCTGCCTTGAACTGGGTTATCTGAGTCCACACTGCCATATACCCCAGTTCAAAGCAGAAAATGTGGGATTTTATTCAGCTGTTTCGAAGGGGGCCTAGTTCAAAGCATATATTGTGAGATTTTCCATCTTGATATTCTGGGATATAGGGTTGTGTGGAAAGGCCCTGAGAGAATGACACCTTTGCCTTCTGGTGTTTCGTTGCACCCCAAATTGTTTAACATGTTGTGTATTACATTATTTCTGTGCAGTGTATATGAAACATAAATAAATTTGTTGTTTGAGCCTTGGGTCCCCTCTCTGAGGTATTTTATTATGTATAGAGAAATATTCCCAGAATCTGAAAGAAAAGAAACCCAAAAATAATATCTCTGGTTTCTAATATCTTTGGGATGTACCTACACTGCAGGATTAATGCAGGTTTAACACACTTTACCTACCAAGGTTCAGGGCCCTTCCACACAGCCCTATTGCCCAGAATACTAAGGCAGATAATTCACAATATCTGCTTTGAACAGGCTTAGCTGAGTCCACACTGCCATATAATCCAGTTCAAAGTGGATTTTATGCAGCTGTGTGGAAGGAGCGTCAATGCTCTCAAACCATGAGAGTTGTAGTTATCCAATGCCTTTAGCCTTCTCTTCCAGAAAGTGTTGGGTTCTCACCAAACTGCAACTCCCAGTATTCCACAGTCTGAGCCATGGCAGTTAAAGTGGGGTCAAACTGCATTAAATCTACAGTGTAGAGGCAACACTGGATAAGGGATACACAACCTGCGGGGTGTGTGTGGGTGTGTATACACACACACACACATGCTGTTTATCATTGCATAGCACTTCAATATAAAAATGAAGGCTTTAGACTGCAGGTATCTAATGGCCTTTTTTCTATTCCACCCAATAAGAAAATAATCAGATGCAAATTATATTATTTGTGAGCAGATGGATTTTTTTTCTGGGACCTGCAAATATTGCTTCCTTTAATGAAGGTTTTCAATATGAATGTATGTACTTAACCTTCCAGTAATTGCCAGAGTTACTATTAGCTGTTAATGAGGATATTCATTTTGGGAGATTCTATTTAAATGTATTAACTACATTTATGTTTTTCAGTTCCTTCATGGGGATCACACTTCTTTTTAATTTATCCTCACAATACTTTTTAGGGAATTAGTTGTCTACAACTTACACATGAAACTATTGCCCCTTCTACACTGCCATATAATCTACATAATCTACTTTGAACTGGATTATATGAGCCTACACTGCCATAAAATCCAGTACAAAGTAGATACTCTGGATTTTTTTCAGCTGTGTAGAAGGGGACTTAGGGACCTTTCACACAACCATATAACCCAGAATATCAAGGCAGATAATCTAGAATATCTACTTTGAACTGGATTATCTCAGTCCATATTGCCATACAATCCAGTTCAATGTGGATTTTATACAGCTATGTGGAGGAGGGCTTTTGTCTCTCCAGTCCACTTATGGCATTCTGACTGCTTTATCATACTGGTTTAAGCAATCAGTCCAATCTACACTCTGAGGAATTTCACCTTAATATTTCTGTAAAATGCTTTCCATATTTAAACTAATAATATGGACATTTAATAAAACATCCCGGAGTCCATGGAGTACACCTGGATCCCTGGCAAAAAATATTATGCAGCAAAACCAGGAGAATTGTCCCTCATGCATGTGTCTAGGAGAGGGGCCTCTTCTGTAAAGCGAGCTAAGGAGCTTGACTTTAGTGTATCTTTCAAAACATAAAACAAATTACTAGGACACAGAAAAACCTCTATAGCCACACAGATACGTTTAAGATATAAAGAGATGCATTGATATTTTTAAAAATAGGAAGTGCTTTTTTCACAAACTAAAATGCGTAAAAATGTTTCAGGAAAATACATCGCCTCCACACAGCGTCCAGATGGTACTTGGAGGAAACAAAGGAGAGTGAAGGAAGGTTATGTCCCCCAAGAAGAAGTACCTGTGTAAGTCAAGCTCCTGCTGTAAAGATAAATTTGATTCAAATTGTTTGTTGCTCTTGTTTGGTAGCAGCCGTAGGAGCATATCTTGGAATTTTCTGGGCCATACAGAGAAGGGAGTAATGAAGGCATCATATATACCTGTCCCATCTGGAAACATGTATTAAATTTTTCAAGTGTTCCTTTCAGTAGCTCTATTCCTCCTGAATAAAGTAACATTAATTGACAATTCAGTCCCATTTAATTTTGGTTTCATATTACAATTTTGCGGGAAGTTGAATGGGTGAGTGGGAAAGGAGAAGAACAATGCTAATGCATTTATGTCTCCTTCGGGATAGATTGTTTATTTATACCCTGCTTTATCTCTCCTTTGGGAGAAACAAAGCAGGGTATAAATATATAATAATAATAATAATAATAATAATAATAATAATAATAGTAACAACAACAACTATGCTGTAAAGTCATTTTTGTGTGAAATACCCCTTTCCTGGTGGTCTCCAGATCCCTGGAAATTCTCCATTTTTGGAATGTAAAGATTTGATGAGAAATCACAGTGCAGACATGCTTGCACATTTCCCCTAGTCAAGCAGTGCCTGTATCTCATACAACGTATGTAAATTCCTAAGTCAGCAACCTCACTTTAAAAGGGGCTTCAACAAATCACTTGGTGAAGGTTTTAAGAGACATACACTTACTTGCATTTGACTTGAAATGTTCTTTCCTTTAAAAAATGAAAGAGGTTCAGATCCAGAGAACAATGTGCCCCCCCCTCCCCCACCATGGCATCCTGTTTCTTAGGCAATTCTCTCAGGAGGCCACCCCTTTTGAAATCAAAGGGACTGTTTAAAAGCATTTGGTGATAGCCCCTAGGAATACATACCTGCTTTCTGCAGGAAAAGATCAATAATTCTTGCTTTTTCTCCCAGGCCCTTGGAAATGATTATGGTTTTATTATTGCAGGGGGCTTGATTCAGAAGCCAACCACTGACACTTTGGAAATACAATAAGGTCTGAGAAATATGTGTTGTTCTTTCTGCATTTAAGTTAGGATCTCATAGACAAATCAACACACAGCTTATGATATCTAAAACAAGTTATGGGCTGTGGTAGTTAAAGTATTCCTCTGTATCAATTGTTAGATGGTGTGTTTTCCCTTTATTGTAAAATCTGATAGATTCTTTGCTCATTGATCTATTTTGGGCACAGACTTTACTTTCTAGTGCTATAAAACAAAATGACACGGGCCACAAACTACTCCCCCTGAAGCCAATAATTTCCTGTGGAAGTACTGAAAACACCAGTTGATGTGCTATTGTGAAGTGACTAAATATGAAGGCTTTCCTTGATGTACAAATCAAAGGGACCAGAGTTGCCCAAAGGGAGGTTGGGTGAGATAACAAAACTCAATAAAGCAGAAGGTACAATTATGCCACAACCATGAGTACAACTCCCTCTAAGGCAGTGGTTCTCAACCAGTGGATCCCATATGCTGGTAAACTGCCTGGGATTTCTGGGAGTTGTAAGCCAAAACACCTGGGGACCCACAGACTGAGAACTACTGCTCTAAACTGAGTTCTGCATCCTAAATAGTAGCGTCAATAATCACATACCAAAGTATGAGCTATAAGTATACCTGTTGAAGCCAGATAGCTCCAGAACAAGAGACTTTCAGCCTGTGTCATATTTCCCTTTGTTTGGAGTGGGAGCTACAGCAAGAACTATAACAGGCGAAATCTATCCCTTTTCTGGTTTGTAAGGTCTGCCACGGTCTCTTCTATGTGACCCTCCAGATGTTCTTGAATGGCAGTAATCCCTGCCCCTTGGCTGTAGTCCAGCAACATTTGTAGGACCACACAATCCTGACATTGAAGGTGTCTACTTTCCCCATGCCTAGCTCTTATTTCCAACCCTGAGGGAAGAGAGCTCTGATATTCTTTGTTCAACACAGGTATGAGAATAAGTATGTGAAATTCTTCAAGAGCAAGCCAGAACTCCCCCCGGGCCTAAATCCAGAGGGAAACACCCCAGCGACCAAGCAAGCGCCAAAGGGACCGGAGAGCAGTGAGGTAGGACTCTCCAAGACAGCCAAGAGGAATCTGAAGCGCAAGGAGAAGAGGAGGCAGCAGCAGGAGAGGGGGGAGCGAGACACAGATGACCTTATCCACTCACTAGAGAAAACAACCCTCTCAGCAACACACGGCAGCAGTGAAGATGCCAGGCCAGTTGTGGCCGCCGGCAGCACAAGGCCCGCTGCATGCAGTGGGGATGCCTCGTCTGGTGCCGCTTCGGCCATGTCAGAGAAGAACAAGAAAATCAAAAACCTGAAAAAGAAATTGCGACAGGTGGAGGAGTTACAGGCGCGGATTGACTCTGGGGAGATCAAGCAACCGACCAAAGAGCAGTTAGACAAGCTGGCTCGAAGGAAAGCTTTGGAAGAGGAACTCGAAGACCTGGAATTGGATTTGTAAGGGTTGGAATTTGAACTGGACATGATGTGCATAGGAACAAACCGTCCCCAGGGGAACATTCTGAGAACTGTGCAGCACACAGAACACAAGTTGCTGTCTTCAGGCTCCTCCTTTGTACCTTTATTTTATTTTACGTTGGGTGCTGTCTGAAATTTTTAAAGAAGTATTTCTCTCAGCTATTGATGTTTTAAGATACCAAGGACACTAAAACGACTTTGCTACCTGCCTGAATCTTATTCTAGCCACTTCTTCCCTTCCCCTGGTTACTGGGATGGGTAGATGGGAGTGTCATTTGGCACAATGGAGCTGACTTCCAGAGGCTTCCAAGTGGGTGGAATGCTTCATGTCTTTTCCCTTCCTTGTATGATACATGTTCTCTGTAGTGGTCACTCCACCTTTCACCTTCTCCTATTCCTCATTTTTAAAAAGGATGCAATAATAAAAATTGCAGTAGTGACCTTGGAGTCTAGGTATACATATGTTTTCTCTATTTTAGTCTAACATGTTTTTAAGCTCAAGCTTTGGTTTCAGTCTTTGCACGAACTCCTGCTTATTTAACTGGTTTTGTTTTTGTGTTTCTTCAAGTCATTTCCTATTTATGGTGACCCTGGAGGATGCCTATAAAAGAGTTTTCTTGGCAAGATTTGTTCAGAGTTGCCATTTTTTAAGGCTGTAGCAGGGTGACTTCCCAAAGGCCATTCAGTGAGCATTTGTGGCTGAGTGGGGGTTTTAACCCTGGTTTCTCAGTTAGTTGGTTCATAATCATTTTCATTGGTGCATGGCAGCTGTGAAAAAAGCAAGGCATTGTTAGAAAAGAGTTTGAAAATAAAGACATGAATATCTGGTGCAACTATTCTTGACATAATGCATATAATTTTGGCCACCCCCATTTCAATAAATAAAGAATAAAGCTGGGAAAGGTACAAGAAAAAAACAATGTTTTAGTGCAGAAACAGATGACTGAGAGTGGGGGGAAAGGGTATAGAGAGGAGTTACATTTTCTCACCGTTTTCATATAAGAGGCTAGGGCTATATAGCCAAATTGGCAACAGATAAAAGGATTTCCACACACCGTTGTCCTTGGAAATGTTATTTTTGGATTGCAGTTACCAGAATCTCCCAGCCAGCATGGCCAATAATCATGCTGGCAGGAAGATTCTGGGAGCATAGTTCAAAAAGGTAAATTTTCAAAATTTTGTGTAATTTCTGGAATTTGTTTCCAAGATGTGGCGATGTCCATAGGGCTAACCACTCCTTTGCAGTTGGACAGTGTCTTCTTTATATATGCTAAATGCTCTGTGCAACAAAGCCTCGGAATTACATCATAGGTACTCATTTTCAGCAAGTTAAACTTCCCAGCTTTGTATCCTGACACAATAGGTTTTTTCCCCTCTCCCTTAATTATAATTGCTTGGTTCATCCAATAAAGTCAAGATAGTAGTGTATTTCGGAAATGTGAAAGAGAGCTCTCAATATATGGAATTTATTGCCACAAGACATAATAATGGCTACAGGCTTAGGAAGCTTTCAAATATCAATAGCTATTCGCAGAGTTTTGGGAAATAATTTGTTGTTGATTTATTTATTTGTTATTTACTATGACCGGAGCTTGCAAAAGTAACTTTTTGGGGACCATAACCAATAGTTGTTCTGCTAGTAAATCTTGGGAGCTTTAGTCCACAAGAGCAATTTACAAAAGATCTGATTCTTGCAATATTTCTATTGAATCTCCAGAACCAGAGGCAGGGCTGGCTTTGAATACATTACTGGAGAGGAGCACTAGGAGAGTGTGAACTGTCTTCCAGCCTTGCTTCTGGACCTTCAAAAGACAACAACTGGTTGTGTACTGTGGCTAGCAGGATGCTGGTCTAGATGGCCTGAGCCAAAAGGACTTTTTATGTTTGCAGCTTCGGAAAGCAAAGACAATCACGTTCATCAAAGATGGAATCAGTCTAAGTTGTGAAGTTTCTTTTTTTTCTCTCCAACTAACTTTAGCATCTGGAATCGATAGCCTTTCTGGAGTTTCTGCCCCTCCTTTGCCTCTGAGCAGTCATTTGAAGTTATCCCAAACAAAATACTGCTACATTATTCCAGAACCATTATCCTTGCAGATGAGAAAAGCAATCAGTTCAAAACAGAATAGCATTCAAACATGCTGAGAGTGTGAAAAGCATCCTCTTGTCTAAAGTAGGACAGGAAGAGTTAGTTCTTGTTCTCTGTAATCTTTGTCCAGCAGATGGTGGTAGAAGGTCTGTTAGATATTAATGCTGCTCATCTATTAGTGTGAACCTGTTGGTTTGCCTTTTCTGAATCAATTTCTCTGTATATATATAAGGATTGGTGTGGGAGGAGCAAAGGATCTGCCTGGTTTTGGATTGGGGGGGGCGGGGGAGGGAATGCCAGTGTTGTTGATAGATTTACTGTTGCCTTTTTAGGTCAGAGTGCCAGGCAATGGGTTTGAGGAGTACAGCTGACCTAGTTCCCATCCCAGACTCCTGATTTTTTTTCCACCTGACAGTATCAACACCCAGTCTTTCAGGCCAGCCAATGCTTCATATTCTTCAGATCGTTACAAGTGCAGGGTCGCTGAGATCATAGCTCCAAATGAAATAGTAATTGCAACACTCTGGAAAAAACGCAGCATTTATGAGGTGTTTTTCTTTTTCCAGAGTTCACCAGCTTAATGCAAACGGCGGCCTGCAAGTGGCACAGATTTCCCATTCGTGTGCCAAGTAGTGCATTGGATCAAGCATTAGGCTGAAATCTTCATTCAGGATTCCACTTTCTTATATCGGTAGCTATAGTTGCCAAAACTTTGTGTAAACTGAATTAGACATAAGGTAAAGCTACCAATAAGAGTTGTACCCAAGCAATTTCTTCCTGAATTCAACAATATGCTTAGGATCTCCAGATGTGAATAACAACTAATACTGTTGCTTCTCCCTCACAGGCCACATAGCTTATCCATCATTGGTCCCCGTCCCCCCTTCTTCCCTTTGCTGTTGGCACACACACAGGAAATAGCAGTTTTGGCTTTGCCAGAGTTTTCAGCTGCTTCATTTCAGTGCCCACTCATTTCTGTAGCATTCACCAAAAGTGTTTCATGACAAATAATAATAATAATAATAATAATAATATAATATAAAAACAACAACCTTATTTACATCCCACCCCATCTACTAATACAGGACTCAGAGCAGTTGACAACATATTATAATTATAATTATTTTACTGACACAAAAACACAGTATGTCACAGTAAATGAGATCTATGTGCTGAACACTTCCCAAGCATCTAGGCCTGTATGATGTATTTTCGAATGATGCGCACAGATCCAAATAATGCGGTCTTTTGCAGTTGACAGATCATGATTTTGTCAATGTTTATTGTTTCCAAATGCCGGCTGAGATCTTTTGGCATGGCACCCAGTGTGCTGATGACCACCTGTACTGGTTTATGCCAGAGCCTTTGCAGTTCAATTTTGATGTCCTGATAACGTCTAAGTTTTTCCTGTTGTTTTTCCTCAATGCGACCGTCACCTGGTATGGCGACATCAATAATCCCAACTTTTTTCTTTTTCACAATTGTGATGTCTGGTGTATTGTGTTCCAAAACAGTCTAGATTCAAAAGTCCCACAGTATTTTTATGTGTTCATTTTCCACTAACTTTGCAGGTTTATGATCCCACCAGTTCTTTACTACTGGCAGGTGGTACTTGTGACATAAGTTCCAATGAATCATTTGGGCCACAGAGTTGTGCCTGTTTGTAGTCTGTCTGTGCGATTTTCGTGCAGCAGCTGAGGATATGATCAATGGTTTCATCAGGTTTCTGATCACTTTCTATAACTTTTATTTTGTTGATTCAGTGGAAATGGGCCCCTGTCAACCCTTGATCCACACATCATAGCAGACTAGGAAATGGGCAAGTGTGGTAAACTAGGGGGCTGCATTAATCCCCCAGGAAGCATTGGAGGTATGTACCTACTGAAATAATTTTTGCTACAATATAGTATGAGGGAATTTTCACCATGATTTTTTAAATGCAAAAAATAGTTTAGAACTCTGGGGTTCTCCAGCCACAGTTAAAATGTCTTTCACACCTCCTAAAGTACATTTGGAGAAATCAACCAAAAAGGTTTTTTACCCTTGAGTGGCTTGGAAGCCACAACATGGCCTGTCAGTCATACTTTGCTCATCTCTGATGTAGACAGTTGAGTTGAAGTCAGATCTTGCAGGACTCTGGATGATTTTCAGAAGATTCATGACTGAGTAAACACTAGGAGAATCTCATTTCTTTTGCTGTATCGGAATGGGATCTACATGTAAACTCCAATGTGCTAGAGAAGATTAAATTCTGTCTTTCTATTGTGATTCCAATAAGGATCAACCTCCCTTTTCAAATTATTTGCATGCTTAAAACCTGTGCATTAAATTCAAAGATACATTTAATATCCTGCCTATTTCAGTGCACAGTATATTGCTAGATATCAGCAAGTTTCAGGACTTAATAATTCAGATCCAGGTCTGATCTTTATACAGTCAGGGGACTTGCTAAGTAACCTTGAGCCAATAGAAAATAAAGGTAGCTGTAATAATTTAGAACAGAAGAATCTGTAATCTACAGATGGGCCTATGAGTTATTCAGAGCTCATCATTCAGCTAGGTGGTGAAAAATAAACAGATAGAAGTATGGATATATATATTTTTAAGATTCAACTACATTCCAAGATGGAAATGCTGGCTTCGTGAGTCACTGATAGATGTGCAGATAGCAGATTTGATTTAGCCATGCATGCTGAAACAGAGAGAAAATGATAATTCCATATTCTGAAAAAAAAAACCAAAAAACAAAAAACAAGGCAGCTTGTAACTCAGATATTTGCCTCGTGCCTTAGGCAAAACCCATAAGTTACTAAGGTGAAATACAACCGAAGTTTTAAAAAAACCCACACAGAACCAGTAATATGTTGGATCTCTTCCAACTTTTAAGTTACTATAGATAAAAAAATTTAATCCTGAAATATATTGATCTGAGCTTGAAGAAAAACAAGATATAAAATAATGTGATTGATAAACTATAAAGAAATATACTAGTTTTGATCTTAAGTAATGTTTATAGTAGCAATGACCTAAAGGCCCTAAAGCCCCCAGATTCTATCTGTGCTTGGAAGCTAAGCAGGTCAGCACAGGTTACTACTTGGATGGGGGATCACAAACAAATACTAGGTGCTGTAGGCTACATTTTAGAGGGAAGAACTGGCAAAACCAAGGGCGAAAGACTCCCCACTTCTTGTTTAATCTTTCTTTGACTTTTCCTTAAGACATCCTTAAGACAGATGTTTTCCTTCATATGTGATGGAACTATATATTCCTATCTGCACCATTCATCTTGGTTATGTGTGCATTTGTGATTAGCAAGGGATCAGAAAGGTTGAGAAAGTAGCAAGGCTGCTGGAC